TACTCTAATAAAAAGTTCTCCAGACCAAAGAGATCACCTTAATACCAAAAAAAAAAAAAAAAAAAAAAATTTACAATACAAGGAAGTAGCCAATATTCTTGTTTTAATACTACTAAATGTTTCTAATAAAATCTTCAAGCAAGTCTGGAAACCATACTGTAAAAAATTTGTAAATTAGAAAAAACTAAATAAAATCACAAAACACAATTAAACTATATTAGTATATACGTAGCCTTAGTATAAAACTTAACAACAATGCAGAGAGTTTATATTATTACTTGTATTGACTACCAGACAAACTTTATACAGATGACAATAATAATAAATGCCCACTAAAAGGACAGGTACAATATAAATTTAATCAATAGTCTACAGTATGGATTCAATATACAGTCGACCCTTCCCAAACTGATATCTATAGTAGACAGGTTTTGTATCAGATTTGAGAGATTATCAGATTTAATAATATCACGTGAAAGATTAACACAAATTGGCCAATAATATTCCAGGATTTAATATACAATTTTAATACTAACAAGCAGTGTTATAAATTCAAAAAATTTTTATTCATACAAACACAAAAAAATGTACACAAAAAAAAAAATTTTATATGTATGCTATATATATGAAGAGCGCTAATATATGCGCAAATTTAAATCTATGTATGCTGTGCCTACAGCATGAACTCAATTTACATCAATGAGCACAAGCACAACCAAAATTCAAGAAATCTATAATAAAGTTATTCAGTAAATTTTTTTAATAAGTGTGCTGTAACCTTAATTAAAATTTTTAATAATTAGAACAAAAATTATTAGTCAGCTGTTCCAATGAATTCTAACACAAATTTCAATTAGTTTCTTGGTTGCATAACACCTACATATACTTTTTAGTTTATTAAAGTAAGTCTAGCACTAAAATTGTTTGATATTAATTTCATGACAATATACAACTTGTAAAAATAATACACTTTTAGTAATTCAAGATTATCACAATTCTATAAATTACTCTATTCAACAGTTCATTTATGCTGCAAAAATCTGGAAATTCATTAAAAGAAAAACAAAATTTCTACAATAAAAGAACTTTTATATATAATTAGACAAAATGCCAAATGATAAAGTTCTCATTTTAATTCAAAAATATTTTCAGGTAGTATAAGTGCCATGTGGTTCAGCCATAACCTTAAATTACAGAGCTAGACTAAAACAGAAATAAAAGAGATGTGCACATTTATTGGTGCAATATAAAGCTCAAAAAAAATAAACTTATTACATTATCCATAATTCAAACAAGTTTTTTCTTTTAGAAATTCTATTTGCTACTGCATACAGTATCCCCCAAAATAATATCCTCCTGATTAATAATACCCAGTTCCTCATACAGTACCACAGATACTATTCAATTTAAAAAATGAAGTTCTTGAATAAAACCACGGGTACTGTATGTAGTGGCAAATAGTATATTACTCGCATGAGTTGTTCAGTTGAATGTTGATTCTTTCTAATATATATTTTATAAGGGGCATCATAATATCAATAGCTTGTTCAAACCAGAATTGATAATTATATAATCATGAAGAAAAAAGCATCAGACTGATATTACATTCTTTGATATTATACAGCAAGATCGATGTTAAAAATATTACTGTATTTTAAAACTAACCATAATTGTGCAAGGTTGGCATGTATCTATGCCCAATTGTTTTCACACACATCTAATTGAATTGAAACAATTGGATAAAGTAAAATGCCAACCCTGAAAGTATATAATTACGTTCTCAGAAAAGATGCATGTTGATTTTAAATGATCTTTGGCTTTAATTCATAATTCTAAAAAATCATAATCCATAATTCTAAAAAATGTGATTACAAGCTTAGTCTAGATATTAGTTTAAAAAAAGCAAAAAAAAAAAACTTGATAGGCTTAAATATATAAATTTTAGTATTAGAATTTTGAAAAAAAACAAATATATCAGATAACAGGAATATTCTTCAAAGAAAAAATAATACTTAACAAAAGATGTCTTAGATTATCATATAGTCTTGAAATAACAGGTGTGGGCATTGTTCTAAAAATAAATCTACAAGAACTAAATTTTTAATAAAGAACAATAAGAACAAGTGCATTTATGAAGATCAAGTATATATATACAGTATTTTCTTTCTTCTTTGTAACTTTATATAATTTTTTAATCTTTCTTCTATTATAATTATGAGAAAAAAAAAGGACAAGATCGTTTTAGCTAGAAATTTGTGCAATGATCAAAGAAAGTTGATATGCAATCATCATTAAGCCAATCCTAACATTACCCAAAAAGAACTTGCTGAGTAGGCAAAAAATAAATTCAATCTCTTAAAAGCCCTAGACCAAAGTACAATATCGAACATCTTAAAAAGAAAGGAGAAATTTAATACAATATCTAAAAGTGATCTCAGAGTTAAAAAATGCTATATTGTGCTGTATTGTTACATTTCCCGAATTAGATACCACTTTGGCGAATTGGGTTTTACAATGTGAAAATCGAGATGTATATCTAAATAGAGATATAATTAAAGCTAAAGATAAAAAATTAGCAGAATTTCAGAAAGTAACCAATTGAAGTTCTCAAATGGATAGTTGCAAGCCTTTCAAGAAAGACATAATTTTTATCACTTTAGGCTACATGGTGAGAGTGGTTCTGCTGATCTTGAAGCTATCAATCTGAATCTTTCTAATATTATTCATACAACTAATAAATATGCTCTACATGATATTTATAATATGGATGAGATGGGTTTGTTTTATACTATGGCTCCTGATCGTACTATTGCATCTTGCCAAATTGAAGGAGCAAAAAAAGATTGTATATGGCTTACAATTGCATTACATCTAATGCTGATAGTATACACAAGCTTCAATCCTTTATTATTGGTCATGCTAAGAAACCTAGATGTTTTAAAAAAAAACTGGTGAGCAACCGGGGTTTTATTATCAGAACAATGTAAAATCCTGGATGACCGCTATGTTTTTTCAGGTAAGAGTACAAATCAAAATCAACTAGTTAATCAAGGTAGCAACCAATTGATTTAAACAAATTATTGAATAATTACTTGTTAATTCCACGTGCTTCATTCCTATACTGTAAAATGCAAAGAAAAAAAAATAATAATAATAAAGAAAAAGAATAAAAATAAAAAATAAAAAAAATAAAA